CTACAAAAGTGGGGTGCCCCTTGGGGTCCAAACCTTAGAGCAAACATGGAGTATAAACGCTAATCAAAACTTCCTTGCCCAATTAATGTTGGATTGGTATCAAATCTCATATTGCCCCAATCTCTGTTTTCATATTTTCAAGATGGTTATTTTGGAGCTTATTTTCTCATTCATCTTTATTCAATTTGAACAAGCAAATATACTACGTTATTTTATAGTAGAGCACAAACACACAAAAAGTTAATCAAAATAATTAGTGAATCTCACTTTAATTTAGTCTCAAAGTCGACAAACAATCTGCTTTTGTCCAACACCAAGCCCAAGTGATCATGCTCAAATCTAACTTTGTGCTGAATATCTCTACCCCACACACACATACACACGCATCCAAGCGTAGATTGTGCAAAGTAATAAATTTTTTTGGAAGTCTAAGATTGTACCTCGGGGAATTGTGTAAATTTAGAATGCAAAGAAAAAATAAAATAAAATTGCTTTGAGAGTTGTCTGAAAGAGTTGAATTTGAAAAATATTAAATTTGGTTTTAAAAATAATGTTGGAGAATACAAAAGCATCGGAGATACCATTTCAAAAATATACACAGTAATTATTAATGTTTTGATTTTCAAACTTAATTGAGAATCAATTGAAGAGTGAATCAAAATATTTAGCGGTGAAAATATCTAAAAGTAAAATTGATAATATATTTAAATAAATCTAAGAATCTACTTATAGATCACAAGAATTCACTATACCTGGAGTTTACGATAAATTAAGTTTTTCAACAAACAAACATTAATTTTATTGCAAATAATAAATCAACTATTTTATAAAAATTCTAATTAATTAATTCAAACATGCAAAGCCAGTTATTTGATTCGTAGGAAATGTCAAACATTTGATATACGTGGCACAACGAATTAAGAAATTCTACAAAGCAAAAATTTTACTAAAATACAAGAATTAAATTAAAAAAATAAATCATACATTAAAGGAACATTTTTTTTAGGTCAACCTTAAAAGAACATTGTATAAAAAATAATATATTATTTTATTGAAAACTTTTCCCCTAACTTAGCTGGGGATTTAACAATCCATAAAAAAACAAGAACAAAAACTATTGAAGGTGGGCTAAGAGCGGAATGACCCTCTATGGGATTTACACCAACTAATATACGCGTCGGGGACCAAAAACCTAGTTTACATCAAAGTCTTGCGTCCAGGCGGGTGTTTCAAGCCATCTGGATGCATTTTCCAGTCTTGGCCCTCCTGTCGATCTGGTTCAGATGCACTTTGCAGTCAATTTCTTGTATTTGCCTTGGTAGCTACTGGTTTCTGCATCCGGACACGCATGCCCCTCCGTCCGGACACATGTCTTCAACTTTTCTTCGTGTATACTTTAAGTCATGTTCGGACGCGTGTAAATGACTGTCTGGACGCAGTAAGCACTGGCTCCTTTTTAACTCCGTAATGTTCTGGATATCTTCTGTTTTTGCAAATTAGTCCCGCATATCTTCAACTAAACTTATCTCCTTGAAAACATAGGCCAACACTACAAAAGAGAGATAAGATCCAAAACTCCATCATTTGAACACAATTAGCTCTATACCTAACGTGATTAGCCAACTATAAATATAATAATCGTGCAATATTCATGACTAATCAACTTACACACACCCAAATAATCATGCCAGAATTTAAGTGGCTATTTGATACCACCACTTAGGACTTAAAATTAAATATTTTAATCACTTAATGAATTAAACTCGTTTGATAACTTAAAACTCATACTACTTAATATTTTAAATACTTCTTAAAAATAAACATTTTAAGTAGCAAGTCATCTACTTATTACTTAATGCTGAAAATATTAGTCAACAAGAATTTTATAAATTTTTTATAATGAGTAAATATACCCTCAATGTATTTTACACTCTTAACTAGGGGTGTTCAAATTTTCGATTACCCATAAATTCTAATCATATTCTACCATACCCGACTCTATTGATTGGCTATTCGAAAGAATCAAGTAGGCCAACAGAAGAATTTTTAGTATTCTGCAAAAAATCAATAGAAATGCGAAATACCTACAAAATTTTTGTATTCTTACCCTACCCTACTTTCATATATATAATAAAGTAGAACGAAGTTTGAATCCAAAAGACAAAAAGAGATCTAAGATCGTTTTGAGGCAAAACATAAACACATCCAACGGATAACATAATTCCAACATAACAGACAGTTCAGATCATCTTAAAAATTTTGATTTGACAGTCTACAGTTAATCCTGAATTTCTTTTCTCGCCCATGAAGAAGCCTCTTATCGTAGAACTCTACACTCTTATCTCTCATACGTCTCTATCTTAAATTTGAAAAAGAACAATAACAACTCAGATTGAATTCATTTTAAATTAAATGGTTTAAATGTTATATGTTAAAAGTGTATTGTTTGTACCTTGATTTAAGTTGATTTTGTTTAATTTTAATTTTATGATAAAACTTTGCATAAAATTAAAATATTTATATTAAACACACATAAAATACATAAATATCTCTAAGTTTAGTGCTTCTTTTTCAAAGTTTGACAGTTTAACATTTTATTCCAATAACCGCAAACACACCGTCACTACAACACAAAAATCAGTACCCAAATGGACAATGTCACCATTTTTGGACATGTAAGTTATTTAGTATATCGATTTTTTCAAAACCTTTGGTATAATATTTTATTAAAAACATTATATACTTAATATATAATTTTTCATCCTTCTTATTAAAAAATTGATTAGTACCGATGATTGATGTTTACTTTTTACTTCTTATCAATCAATTAAGTTTAAATTATTTTTATAATCCATAAATAAAATCTTCAAGTTATTATTCATACAAAAAATAAATCACTACTGAATGAAAACCTATATATAATTCTCAAAAAATTAAAAAAAAATTCAAAACCCAAGTTAATCAGCAATTAAAAAATAATAAATGACCAATACAAAAAAAATAAGATATCAATTGCACCAACAAAAAATGTTCAAAATCAACCTAATCGTTATGTGTTGAAATTATTTAAACATCATATCTTTGCGTGTTGAAATATTATAAGTAATATAGTGTCTTCAGGCACGGACAATAACTAGTATATATATATATATATATATATATATATATATATATATATATATATATATATATATATATATGTGTGTGTGTGTGTTAATTCTTAAAAATTAAAATCCAAAAATCTAAAAATTCTAATGTTTTGTTGATATTTATGACTTTCTTGTTGTATTTTTATTGTAATTATTTATGTATTATTGATTTTATTGTATTTTTTTAGTGTTATTGATTTATTGGGTTAGTTAATTGGTGTAGGTTACTTAATTAAATTGTTAAAATAATCTAAAAATTAATAACTAAAAATATATGTTTATTCAATTTTTACCCGACTTCCTACCCGATTGTTTTTAATGGAATTCTGGTAGGAATAATATACTTAATCAGATAGGGTAGACCAAGAAAAAATTCTTACTTAAAGTATCAGATAGGAAGATGAAATACCATAATTTCTACTCGTTGAGTAGGGTGAACACCCCTACTCTTAACTTTTTAATGCCCACTCTCCACCACCACCACCATTGTGCTGCTACTGCCGCCGCCGCCGCCACCACTTCCAACATTCTATTGTCACCACCCCACCATTGTGCCATCGCCACACTAACACCACCACAACCATTGTGCCACCGTTGCCTCCACCACCACAATCATTTTGCTGCTGTCGTCATCACCCCTATCATCATTGTGTCGTTGCCACCATCACCATTATGCCATCGCCACTGCCATTATATCGCTGCTGCCACCACCATTGGTGGTAGGAGTAAGGTAGTTGCAGTGAGATGAATAAAAAAAGAGAAAAATTAGAATACAATAATTTTTAGACCTCAGATCCATATATTTGTTAAACAGTTTGATTCAATTCAATATTTAAATCTCAGTGAATACCAAACAGTCTAAGAATTAAAAAATTCAGCATTCAACACTTAAATTCAATGTTTAATTTTTGTATTCAGTTTTCAATTTTATCAAATAACACCTGACTCATACACTTAATATATCCACCACATATTTGTAAAAAAGACATGACAGACTCTTGCTATAGGCTAACTCTGCATTGAATATCTCCACTACACATACAAATCATATACCCAAGTGAACATTCTGAGGCATTCTATGCACTGGATATCTCCAGACACATGCACAAAGCAAACCTTTATCCAACTCTCATTTCTCGGCTTGCAGCTACTACTACATTGTTATGCACTAATACAAAATTAAGAAAATAGATCCCCAGTGGCATAAACACATATATGCTAGTTATCCCTCAGTTTTAGATTCCCCTTAAAAATAGAATGCCATGCTGACAAAGTTTCAGTTATATTCGGAACTTACGAAGATACAAGGCATGGATCAATTATATTCTTTTAAAAGAAGGAAATTATTTATCTATATCTACATCTATACTACTTATAAATGCAAGTATTTGTGAATTTTTTTATTTTTTTAATTTTATCCTTCATTATTATTATAAAGTCAATTATCTAATTTTTAATGTTTTCTATACTTATTAGACTTCTGAGTTCTTTCCGACACTTTTATTAGTAGTATTTGACTTCTAAGCTTTTTAGCCTCTTTTATATTTATTATTGGTAGTACACTTACATATAATTTCTGTATCTATTTATAAAAAAAATTCAATATGTATTCTATTATTATATACATGTTGTTGTAAAATTGGATTTTACTGTCAAATATATGTCACATCTATTTTTTTTATATGCAACAATATCATAATATTATAATACAAATAATAGTTTATAATTTAATCAATCTCGTTGACAACAAAAATAATAATATATTTAGATGTACAAATACTCAAGAATGACAATTTTATAATAAAACTTTACTATAAACAATGATAGGACGTGACATGTCAAACCAATCAAATGTTGACACGTGAGATTTTACCTCGGCGTACAGATGATGTCACTGGAAAGAAAAGTAATGACGACGAAAAGAAAACAGGTTTCCCTCAAAATCATGATGTCAATCGAGGTTATGTGACATCACTTGAGGGAAAAGTTATAATAATAAAGGGTGAGTGTCCCTTCGACGAGGTGACGTCACTCAAGCGCATGTGGCATCACTCGGAGATGATGTCATTTGGCTAGGTGTGATGTCACTCGGCAAGCTTGGTTTGCTGGGAACGCATTGGGAATGTCCACTTGAATACATGAGGAACACGATTGATCAGAATCCGTACTCAACTCTTAGCAAGTGTGGAACCATTGCCCTATGCTGTCAGAACAAGCATGATAACACACACTATTACATCTGGTAATAAATGCTCTTCATGAGCATATGACAAATAATTAATGCACAGAGGAGAATAGAGATGAAACATTTACTACTCAGCTGAGAGGGTCTCCAACGTCATATGTTGCAATTAACAATTAGTTGAAACTCAGACAATGAAGGATTAATGCCATCAATGCGTGTCTTGTGAAGCGTGTGTAGAAGGATCAGGGATCAATGTCAAAGGGAAAATCCAACTCCATGCCTTGTCACCTGACAAGGTCAGTAAGACATCCTTGTTGTCCTAGGGAATAACCAATAAGGGAGCCTCCCGCTAAGGAGAATGATACAAGGTTTCCTCGATAAAGATACCCATCCACCAGGAAAGTATAAATAGCCCTCTTAGTTAAAGGAGAGAGGTACGCAAAACACTTCCTCAACCTTAACGCTAAGTATTGTCTCATTTCCTTTTCAGAAACTGACTTAAGCATTGGAAGGGAATCGCCGGAGACAACTTTGGCTTCTCTTCTAACTCTTTTTCTATGAACCTTAGGTCTTTCATCATCCTCACCAAGAGGGACTACCCTCGAGTGTCGATCAAAGTGTTAACGCACAATTTGGGACCATCTATGGGAACGATCAGAACTTCCCTATAGCCAGCATGATGGTTAACACTTGATCGAGAGATTATGTGGATGAAAACCCACGACACAAAAAGAAGACTAAACCCCTTCTAGATATATCGACTTCCAAGTCAATGCACCTTATTGATAACTTGGTCCAGGGCCAAGTTGCTAGCCAAGAGCGTGCCCTCTAGCCTGGGCAGCAGTCCCAGCACACCGTCCCCCACCTCATGGGGGGCAGGGGTGGACCCCTTGCCCATGATCTGGTGGACCTCATAGAAAAGTGGTCGAAAGGTCTTTTCAAGAAGATTGAGGATAACGTCAATGTACTCAATATTCTAGATGAGTTTGGATGTTCAAGAGGGTCCTTAAGTCTTAAGCATTTCTCTAAGAGCAAGTCCTTTCAAGAAAATTTAAAATGGGACAATCTCCATCACCGCCTTTCTTAGAAGGCAATAAATTCTAAGGAGCTAAAACCTATCTGCCACAAGACAAGAGAAACTGTCATCCTGAAGAAAAGAGACAGATAGCTGGCAAATGATGATCTATGTAGGCATCTCTCTCAGCGAGAAGCAAGGGACGAGTTTGAGGTATCTACCTTCTTCGTGAAAGACGTTGGGATAATGCACCACGAGGTGCCCCCCAAGCGCCAGAAGGGAAAGGACGATTTAAGGTCCCACTTGGACGTGAAGCGACTCTAGAAAGGTACCTCGTAAAGGGGGGAGGATACCAATTATGAGACTGTCCATTCTCCCTTCGTCCGCAACATAAGGGAAGTGGAGATGTGTCATAAGTTCATGGTACCTCGTCTTGAAGCTCACATTTGACAATATAAGCAACTCATGTCATTCTATGACACAAACCCAAAGTTGTTGTGTTGGGTGTTCTCAATGAGTTTCGAGGACACCGTCATGAAGTGGTATGAAAGTCCACCCCCAACAAACATAGGCTCATGGAAGCAGTTGACCACATGGTTTCCTGCCCAGTTCATCACAAGCAGTAAGTGCTTGAAGGACATCGGGTCATTACTCGCCCTTTGATAGAGGTACAATGAGAGTCTTTAACAGTATGTTGCCCGCTACTAGGAGGAGATCAATGAAGTGGAAGGGTGTTCTAAAGTGATGGTTGTAGTCTCTTTCAGACTCAACTTGTCTCGAGATACTGACCTATATCGGTCCCTACCAAAGAGGACCCAATACACTACGAGTGACCTGATGGCCCACATTGACAAATACGCCGAGGTGGAAGATGATCTAGGGTTGCACGAGAGTAAAACCTCGGTCCTAAAGAAGAAAGAATAGCCTCACCGAGAAAAGGAACAGGGTAATAAGGTCAGACTCACATCCTTGCCGACCCCAAGCTTATTTGGGGGGTCCATACTATTTTTAAGGATCCGACCTACAAGATGTTGCACAATATTAAGAAAGAACCATTCTTTAAATGACCGCCAAAATGTAGGAGGATCCCTCAACAAAGAATCAGAATGCTTATTGTTCTTATCATCGGGATACTGGGCATCTCGCCGAGAATTGTCGAGTGTATAAGTCTATCCTAGAAAGTTGGTGAATGAAGGACAACTCGATGAGTTTATAGACCCAGGGGCACCGACTGAAGGAATCCAGGTGGCCAAGACAAAGGGAAACCCACAATAGTTACTGATGTAATTCATGCCTACCCCTTGGAATGGCCAACCACTAATACGCTCAGAGCAGACTTAAAGAGGGTGTTGACGGCGTGCAAATTGGAGGAGGGTAAGATAGAAACATAGTTAGCCAAGACGACTCAGGGTGAAGGAGTGGATATCACTTTTTTGGATGTCGAACTAGCCGAGGTGGTGTTTCCATACGATGATGTACTGATCATTACTCCACAAATATCAAACTTTGATGTAAGGGGCATTCTGATTGACTTCGAGAGTTCCTCTGCAGTCATGTATCAAAATATGCTACAGAAAATGGGCCTCGATCCCAAAGATCTCACCTCAGTGAAAACTCCTCTCATCAATTTCAATGGGTCATACGCCCTTTCCCTTGGGAAATTTAGCTTACCTATCAAGATAGGTCCCATCGTCTTGGAGACATAATTTGTGGTTATTAATTTTGACTTACCATATAATGCCATTATGGGAAGAACATGGTTGCACCGCCTTAAGGCCATTCGTTCTTTCTATCATTAGAAGACGAAATTCTACACTTAGGAGGACATTATGGAGATCTATGGGGATCAAGCCTTGGCCAAGAACTGCTTTTATGCAGCTGTGAAGGCGGGGTTGAATCCAAAGAGAAGGAACCCGATACTAAAATCGTCCTAAACAAATAGCAATCAAAGTTCAAGGAATAAGGGGTTGACGAGCTGAGGGTAGACCCTACCAATCACTTGATAAAGTAGTTGAGGACCGTGTATTTGGATCTTAAGGATAGGGAAAAGTTATTCCTAGTTGGCTCTTAGATGCCTCCAGATGAGCAAGAGGAAATGATAGTTATTTTGCGTTGAAACATGGATGTATTCGCATGGCATCCCTCGGCTCGGTGATGAAGGAGATCAATCCTAAGGTCAAAAGACATTGATTGCACATGGATCCAAGCTTTAAGTCTGTGAAACAAAAACCACGCCAATCAGCTCTTCATCATCTCAGCGTTGTGAATGAAAAGGTTGAGCAACTCTTGGAAGCTAATGCGATCAAAGATGTACAGTTCCTAGAGTGGCTGTCTAACACAGTGTGTGCAAAGAATAAGAATGGGAAGCGACGCGTTTACATCGATTTCATTGATCTGAACAAGGCATGTCCTAGAAATGATTACCTACTTCGAAAGGTGGATCAATTGGTGGATATATGGATGTGCAAACGAGACAATGACGTTTATAAATGCATGAGCAGGCTACCATCAGATCCCCCTACATCCACCAGATCAAGAAAAATGACTTTCATTACCCCGCGAGGAGTATACTGTTACAAAGTTATGTCGTTCGGTCACAACGGGGGCCACTAATCAACACCTAATGAACAAGATGTTTAAGTGACAAACAAAAGTGAACATGGAAGTATACATTGATAACATACTTGTAAAAAGTGCTAAGAGAACCATCTTGAAGATTTGGGGATGACCTTCCAAACACTCCGAGAGTATGGGTTAAATCTGAATGCAGCAAAGTGCTCATTTAGGATTAGCTCGGGTAAATTCCTTGGGTACTTGTTTACCCGACGCAGCGTAGAGGCAAGTCTTGAGTAGATAGAAGCCATCATTAACGTCCAAAAGACCGTTAGGGACATATAGAAGCTGACAGGGATATTGGCCGCCCTAAATTGCTTCATATCTAGATCTTTGAATAAGTGTAGGCCCTTCTTCGATGCTCTAAAAAGGCACAGAAGGACAAGTGGGATGACGAATGTAGTAAGGCCCTCATTCGCCATAAAAGATTACCTCAGGGTCCCGCCGACCCTCTCAGTTCTGGGGAACGGAGAGACTTTATACCTTTATCTTTTGATCTCAGAGTTTGTCGTAAGTGGGGCTCTAGTTCGAGAGATGGGGTCTGATTAGATGTCGGTGTACTATGTGAGTAAGGTTCTATTCGATCCCAAGACAAGATATCTCCCACTGAAAAAAATGGCATTGGCTATTTTTACAATGGCAAGGAGGCTCAGACATTACTTTCAAGCCTATCCGATAGTGGTGCTGACTAATCAACCGTCGAAATCTGTCCTCAAAAGGGCTGACTTGTCTGGGAGGATTACTAAAAGGAAAATCAAAGGCACATGTCTCTGGCACTTATCACATTTTAGTTCAAACACCGTATGACTATCAAAGGGCAAGTCCTAACAGATTTTATCATAGAATTCACCCCTAGCATGGCTCCTCCCAAAGAGAAAATCTTCATCCCTTGACATGTGTCTGTGGACCCCTGGAAGTTTTATGTTGACGGATCCTTTAACCAGAGGGGCTTGGAGATAGATATGGTCTTAGTCTTCCCAGACGATGACGTCTCAGAGGAGGCAGTACGACTCCGCTTCGGTGCCTCAAACAACGAGATTGAATACGAGGCCCTCATCTTGGGGCTCAAATTGGCCCACGTAGTCGAAGCCGACCATCTCTTAGTATTCTACAACTCTTAGCTTGTGGTAAACCAGACGAATAGAAAATTTGAGATAAGAGATCCAAGGATGAGGGTGTATCAAGAGAAAACCACCTCCATTGTGTAGAACTTTCAAAAAGTGAAAGTCACCCAGATTCCTCAAGACAACAACTCCCAAGGCGAGTCTTGCCTCGGCTCTTAGGACAGAGGTCACAAGGAGAATCACGGTGGATGTTCTGCCATCCCCGAGCATATTGGAGGGAACAAATAGCTTCCTAGTTGAAAGGGATGGTTTTTCGAGCTGGACGAACCCGTTCATCCAATACTTGGTGGTTAAGGAGCTTTCAGCTTGTAGGAAGGAAGCTCGTATGATCAGGCATCAAGGTTTAACCCATTCAACTCTCGGTTCAACCCTTCCAAAAGTTGTATCAAAAATTATTCTCAAGTCCTTATTTTCTCTGTGTTCCTAATAACAAGGTTCAACTCATGTTATACAAAATCCATGAAAGCACGTGTAGGGGGCACATGGGGGCAAGTCGATGACTCACTAATCGATGTCGCAAGGATATTGATGACCGCACATGCAAAAGGATGCAAGAGAGTATGTACAAAAATCTTATCAAAGTGGACTTATTTATGATGGACTTATTACCAAATAAGTCCAAAAAGGAGACCAGCCCCCAAATTTCTCTTTTTTTGTTTTAGTTTGGGTTTTTTTATTTTGAACTTTTTTATGATATATATTTAATTGGGCCTATACAAACAAAAATTTTTGGGTCATATATAATATTAAGGGAAAATTGGAAGGGAGTACATCAAATTAGACTTAATTATATAAAAATACACAGAAAAAAATGTAGGGTGCTTAAGTCCTTAATTTTGATACTTATATGTGTCCAAGTTCATTATTTGAGTTTTTCTAATTTCATTGTGACATTTTTGTCCGCCATTGGTCAATGTGTATTTTTGTTTTTGGTAAAGTGTTTAGTTTTCAAATTATATTTGTGTATTAAATATTTTCTAGTTTTATGAGAGTGAAATATAACACTTTTTCAAAAATTTCAAATTTTGAATACACCATTATTTTTAGTTTTTTAAGAGAGAAATATACATTGGTATATTTCTGCATGAAGCCCAGTCTTATGCTTAAATATTGAAGCCGATTTATGCTTCTTCTTCATCCACCTGCAGGTCAATTTTCTTCTTCAAGCCTAAAGCTGATTTATGTTTCTTCTTTATGCACCTGCAAGACAATGTTCTTCTTCATCCACATGATAAATATGATGTATCATGAAGCCTGAAAAACAAAGAAGCAGAACATTTTTGAAGTTTTCCTTTTTTTAGTAAGTTAACATACTAACATCCTAAATGTGTTAATGTATAAATGTTTTCAATATTTATTTCTTTCTATATATGTTTTTCATTTGAAATTTGTTGTATATATTTTTTTAATAATTTGAAAGACTTTGAAAATAGAGGAATCGGTGTTGTTATGTACATATGGTAATGCTACTAAAGTATTCAAAATAAGTGATAATTCAAATATATCAGAACTTGTTCATGAAGTTTGCGAGACGTGGGAGGAGTTTTTTAGTTTGTCAATACCATTCCTAGTCACCCATCTTGCATG